TTTACATGGCCAGAAATTCATTTCACTTCTGCGCGCTGTACCGCTGACCGAAACGCCGGCTCTAGAGACGACCAGCACAAATCGCACATGCTGCGATTGCCCAGCGCTTCGATCGTGTCTTCTAGATAGATTACAAAGATTACAAAACACGTCAACATTGGATCTCCTTAGTCACTTATACAAGGACTACCGGCAGAAGAAGAGAAAGAGAAAGGATATTTATGAGGTTGAGCGGCTCATTTCGAAACGCGAAGGAATTGAGGTGAGCAAACAAATAAGCTCATTTAAGTTTCATCTGTTCGCTCGTCACTTTACGGCCCGCTTTCGTCGCTTGGCCGCTCTGATTAGATTTAGAATAAGAAAAGATAAAACCTCCAAGAACAACTTCAACCCGGCCATTTATTTACATCTTTTAGAGCTATATTTTAGTCTATATTTTACTTTCATATATTTTAATTAGTTTTATAATAAAGTTCAGATGTAACGCGTGCTGTCATTGGTTCAAAGGGCGTGCTCCATCAGAGTTTATAGTTCACCACTAAATTTTCTCCTGTTCTTATTGGTTTAAATCGATCACGTGACGCGATAGTGTTCATCCGTGGAGAGACACTATCAGCCCATAGTGCCCGCCCGCGGAAAATACCCGGATGGATAGTGCCCGTCCGCGGAAAATACCTGGATTGATAGTACTCATCGGTGAAAAGTTTTGAATAGTTTGACGGCCGCGAAGTTAGGCAGATCGGAAAAACAGTGACTTTTCAATTCTGACAGGTATAACGTATTATTTAGCCAATGTACGGTTGCGAATAATTGACATTTGTGACAAGCTGTAGGCGCGGAAGAAAATTTAAAGGTGAAAAATAAAAACAATAGAGTGTTTATGTCTCGGAACTATCGGTCTGATAGTTGCCACTTGGAAATTTGATGTTCTTAAAACTAGCATATTTGCCCTCGAAGCTTCGCCTCTCGGGTAAATATTTGTTTTAAGAACATCAAATTTCCGCGGGGCAACTATCAGCCGATAGTTCTTCGACAGAAACACTCTATTGTTTAAATTGACACCAAGGTAAGAATATACGAGGCTTTTTTTCTGAGTACCCTGCTCTACAGTGCCGAAAGACAGACCACCTACAAAGGTCAAGAAAGGAAGCTTAACAAGTTTCACCTTCGCTGCCTCAGGAAAACACTCCATATAAATTGGCAAGACATGATCACAAACTCGCAGGTCCTGGAGAGAGCCAGCTCACTCTCTGTATTGTCTATTCTGCTGAAGAGAAGACTACGGGTTCGATTCGTGGACCTGGTACCCGTTTCTCGAAAGTCCCGGTAACTTAACGGGCCCGTAAAGCTGTTCTGTTTTCGCTCAAAAGTTTTGAAAACGATACAATAAAACTATCAGCTAGAGAAACAAAAAGGAGTAGTTTGGGAGCCGGAACCTGCTTTCCTATCCTTTAAACTTTAATTTTAAAACTAGCTTCGGGTCCGTTAGGTTAACGGTACTTTCGAGAAACGGCCCCATGGCGTCACATGTCAATTGAGTTTGTTGTTGGTTCTTGTCCTTGCTCCGATGGTTTTTCTCCAGGTAGAAAAATACGACGACTACGTTTTTATCCCTAAGTGGCTGGACTTCTGTCAGTACATTTCAAAAGTTCTAAGACAAAACTCTGTTATCAACCCATAATACGATGGCATCAGTTGTACTGACCACAAGAGGCCCAAGCTTTCTTTAAGAACCACACAAGGAACGGAATTTGCATATCGATTTATAAGGATTTGTATGGGATTTTCTACAAGATATCCTTGGAGATAATTAAAAGTGAAAATATTAAATAAAAGTGGCGTACCTTATTCCAGACGTGTGTTGTTTGCTCCTGGTGTCGTTATTTTACCGAGTTAACTTGATTTAAGCGGTTTTTTCGAACCAAGGCCTGGTTTTCTCTTCTTAAATCAAATTAAATCGATAAAATAACGACACCAGGAGCAAGCAACTCACGTATGGAATAAGGTAAGCCATTTTTATTTAATATTTTCACTTTTAACCATCTCCATGGATATCTTGTAGAAAATTCCATACAAATCCTTATAAATCGATATGCAAATTGTGTTCCTTGTGTGGCTGGGCCGCCTGTGTACTGACTAGTTAAATTGCTACTGAAACGTAATTTTCATATCCGAGATTTTTACAATATAATAGAGTTTGAACGTTATTTGCAAACGCTGTGTAAATTTTTTGGGCCAACGCATAGCGGAAAGTACATTTTTAACCATTCGAAGTTGACCGGCTGAGATCAAAATTGGCGGCTATCTTGGCGCGCCCAAAACAGCCCTGTGACGTCACTGGTTGTGTACTTCTGTGAAAGAAGGGTAAAAGCATGGAGTGTGGCTTGCATGCTGGGAGGCCGATAAAGAGGATTTCGGGCAAAATGCCATCCTCGTATTATTCATCGGCGGCCTCATCGGCATCTTGGCTATCTGCGAGAGGTTCGCCCAGATAGGGAGCAAAATTCCCGACTGATACCGAGAACAAATCTCTACCAGTCTATTTAGTTATTCGGAAACTGACGAGATCCACAAGATTAGGATCGAAACCGTGGTCTTGCTTGACCATCTACAGAAAATGTCGAAAGACATTATAACGGCAGATGGGCTACTAAACGCCCCGGGCCAAAGCAATGCCATTCAGAGAATGAAGAAAACATGGAAGCCTCATACGACACCGCCACTGAAGATGATCTACTCGGCAAGTCTGAGGATAACGAACAAATCCCTCTGTACCAAATGCCTAGCAGAACATGCCCAGAATCCCTACAATATAGGGCGAGGGCCAAAATAAGAGCAGACGAGGATTTCAAAAATGAGATAAAGCAAATCCTTAACAACGCGGAGCAAGAAACAGTAAAGGCGATCATGTGCTTCTATGAACGTGAAATCGGTCGTTTTAATACCGAAATAAAGAAAAGAAAACGAGCCAAAACGGCTGGAACA